GAACGAGGTACTGCCAAGGTAGCGGTTTGTAGATAATTAATAAAAATCTAATCTTTGATTACATCATGTTAATTTTAGTACTGAGAGATCAGTCTATTGGGCCGGTACTGAACTTCCCTTGATAAATGCTACCTACCTGATGTGTCTTGTGTTTATTAAAGCCTCAGGTGGGGGGTTTGGAGGGATCTGTGACTTTGGGCCCTGGGGATTGTGCAGACTCCTGGGCCGTTGCTCTGGTGGGTCTCACCATGCTGCAGGTGAGTGTGGTGGTGGCAGGACCAGGAAACCTTCAACAACCACTTAAAAATCAAAGCTTGTACTTGTTGTGGCTAAGTTAATCTTGGCAGAAGTAGAGCCTTCAAGTCCACGCTGTGTTTTGCAGGGCTAAGACATAGCCCAGGGGAACTGTCCATAGGCAGAAGGGGAAGCGGTCAGAGTACTGCTCACAGTAAGCTGGGTTAATGTGGCAGCCTGAGTAGGTGAAACCTACCTGTGAGCCTGGCCCTGCAATCAACTGTGGTGTGAGAAGAACCCATCCAAGAGCTGCTGAAATGCACCTTGCTGCAGGGTGTGTGGTGGCTGCAGAGGGGAAGGTGGCCAGACTGTGGCAGTGGGAGTGAGCCAGCACCTGGCCCCCCACTGGGATGGCTGGGGGAGCACTGGCCATCACAAGACCCTGTTACTGCTGGGAGATTGAGACCTATTCCCTGTGGTCTTGGGGAGCTGTTTAATATCCCAAGGGCTGGAGCTATTTGGAGCTCTTCTTTGGGTTCCTTGGCTATAATTTGCTCCCATGCCAGGGCTTGCTGGGGACACTGCTGGGGGTGATGAGTCTCGTAGGACACAGTCTGTGGGGCTGTGCCTGTATCCCCACTCCACACCATGTGCATCACCAGTGCAGGGGGAAACTTGTTCTCATTCATTTTCCAGTGGGCTGCATAAATACTCTGTAATGGGAGCGAGGACAACGCTATAGCTCAGGCATTGCAAGTCTCCAGGTGAGAGAAACCCAACTACAGGAAGCAAGAAAGTGCTTTAAAAATTCAGTCGGCTTTATTTAAGCTCAAATACAGCCTGCAAGAGCAGCAGTCCAGCAATGCAAAGCCAGGCATTAGTTAAACAAGCACAAAGATACCTGACAGAAGGATGGTGATGCTGCTGATAGAAGCTGACACAAACTAAGGTCCTTTGCAAGGCCAGGGAAGGCTCGGGATGCTAATGAGCACAAGCAAGTGTGATGGGAGAGCTGAGCCTGTTTCAAGGAGAGGGGTGATGGGGAGCTCACCAGCTCCTCACAACATGTGCAAACAACCCAGGTCTTAGGGAAAAGTGCTGAAAAGAATTCAGGTTGTGCAGGCACAAAGCTGTTCCCCAAAGTTGTTCAGAGACATTCCCCAAGCCATCTGGCACAGCACAAGCTCTGTCTTCATATAATCCCAGCCTGGTTTGGGTTGGAAGGGACCTTTAAAGCTCATACACCTCCAACCCCCTGCCACAGGCAGGGGGGCCTTCCACTAGAA